AAATGAAGTCGGTTATCTCATTTGGCTACCCATTGAAATTAATATAGGTCGATAGCCCCAGGGATGTCATTGATGATTATATAAGGTTGCCTGTTATCAGCCTGATAGTATCCTTGAAAATCTCATTAAAAAAATTTGAGGCGACTTATCAGAGATACCGTTGTGATGATAACAGGCAACCCTATATATTCATCAATGGCATTCCTAGGACTATCGATCTGTATTAATTTCATTTCGTAATAAGTGACTTTATTTTTTGGCCTCTAAAATGTGGCTGACCACGGAAACTGCCGGTGTTGGAGATGGCAACCCTAGCGGGTTCTCATCGCCAAAGGTGTCTCTTTAGACGGGTATACATACGTTTCGAATGGTAAAGCGATGTGATGTAAATTTTGGAAATAAAATAAGTTTTTTAAGTCGGATAAAAAAAACTGCCAGGATTTCGGATGGCCGCCCATACAATGTTATGACCTCCTAAACATGATCTATCGTTATAGCATACTTTCAATCGGTAGACTTATGAGGTAAGACTTTGTCAATGGGAGCTTAGTCTAAATATGACGTTCGTGGCTACCATCTTCTAAGTTACCTTGAGTTGCTCTGACATTCCAGTTATTACCAGTTAAAATCAGTATGCGTCAAAATTGTCGCCAGTACTGAGTGAACCATCTGTAAAAGCGCCCTGCGCGACGTTTACCTATTATATGGTTGTTCAGTGTCGCTAACATTAAAATGCCAAAAAAATATCGGGGCCCTTACCAAGTGCATTGACTCACCACGCTCTCGACTCGTCCCACTTGCTTCTGTCACCATATCCTTTATTCCATTGTCCATTATTCCATTAGACAAATTTCGTAGGGCAGATTTGTGGTCACCTTGGGAGGGTGCCTCTACGGACCATTTCTTGCTTTATTTAGCACAGGCGTTCTTCTGAAATTGATATGATAATATTATAGAGCGACGGAAAAGGTGAATTAAGAATTCTTGTCAAATCGCGTGATCTCATGCTTTATCCCACCGCCTTTGTATCTCAGTGCATAATAATTTAGTTAGGTATGCTTGCTGTAGTAGAAAAAAGCTTGTTTTCTGTGTAGATGTGCGGAAAACTGATTCCCATTTTCTTATTTACCTACCTACCTAAAACCAACACTTAAATAAAAAAATAAAAAAAATATTATAAAGAGTAAACTAGGCCAAATATTACCCAAGAGGCATAAAGTAGAGTTTTAACAAGATGTCTTAAAAACAGAAACCCGTCTGCGGTAAGTTCAAAGTTGTATTTTGCGATAAATAATAATATAATAATCCGCCATCTTGAATTTATGATTTTTTAAGTTATACCAGGGATATCAGGTGTCACTCACGCTGCTGAGACGAATCTAACGACACCTTACATGTCAAGATCCGCCCAGCCGTTTGGGCTGTGGCTCGTGAAATCTAATTTTTAGCCACACAAACACACACACACACACACACACACACAAACACACCATAACCATAACAGCCACAACAGTTCACTGCTGGACATGGGCCTCCCCCTATCGGGGGGTATTGCCATACTCACCACACTTGGCAGGCGGATTGGCGAGCGCAGTGCCAAGATGTTACATTTACAGGGAACGCTGCTGCCCATTCCCTGGATGAATATCCCTAAGTCGCTTTTTACGACACCCACGGGTAGAATTGGGGTGATGCTATTCTAAGCCGGCATCACACGGCAAACACACACATCATCATCATCATCATCACACACATATAAATACATACATACTCTCAAAATACATAACCCTCCTGAGGCAGCCGGGTATAAATATAACTTCAGAAACGTCTGGGTTGGATATTTCATTATATTTTGTATAACTGTTCCAACAAAAAAGTGTAAGACATACGATTTTCCTACTTTTAAGGTGTTCTTGGGGACCTGGATGACACGCAAGAAAGTTGTAAGATACTAAGGTACAAAAGTTACAAAGGTAACAAATACACAGATTTAACTTATTGCAACAATAAAGAGATTTCCGAACGAAGCGACGAACAGACAAACCCGCCAAACGAAATTAAAGTGCTAACAATCTCTTGCAAATTAGCACGCAACAAATCTTAGAGTTACGACACAGACAAGGCATGTAAAGACACAGGATATTTTTTGCTCCTTTTGGACTTAAAGTTGAACGAACTTTATATGATGACCATATTTTTTATCGCGGTTAAGAACAAAGCATACACTAAGCAGGAAATTATTTTTATCATATCTTGTGGGATACCAAATCAAATCACGACCAAATCAACCAAAAATACATAACAAAATTAAACTGCCTAGTTTTGGCAACTAACAGCCCTTTGACATGATTGTAGAGGTAGAACCAACGATCGACGTGCTCTCTGCAGCATAGAACCATATTTTTGCAGGAAATTTGATGGTTCTGCCAGCAAAGACCTAACACAACTAATAATCTCAGAAAATTCAAAAGTAACATAAGTTAACTTTGATTGTATTTCTTGAGATTCGAACAAGTGACCTCAGAATCCTCAAACCGAACTCAAGCTGCTAGACTTTGGAGGCAGTATTTTTCTATTGCAGAAGTCGTGTCTAAAAATGACAGGTCTTTGCAACTACCCCGTTTTTGCCAAGTTGTTGCGAAAGAGCGACGACTTAAGCCAATTAGCATATTTCTCACAACAAGTGCGCCTGATGCGATTATTATAGCAAACTCGACGATTCGCCGGAAAGTGTTTATTATTGTCACAGGAGTTTCAAAAGTGCTGGGATTTGTCAATCAAATTACACTTGTTGTCTATCTTTATCACGTTGTTAATGCAGAAAATAAGCAGTAGGCAACCTGATGACATGATAATTCCAAACTCAATCATTTTCAACGAAATATCGTTATTGTGGCTGTGATTGACGTGCGATGCAGGCTTAGATTAGCATCACTTCAATTGTGTCATAAAAAACGAGTAAGGTATAATTATCCAGCAATTAGGCAGCAGCGTACCCTGTGAGTTAAGGTAGTCACTTTGCAAAAAAAAACACAACAGTTAATACATCTTGCACTGCGCTCTTGGGATGGCAATACCTACCGATACAGAGAGGCAGGGGAGGCCCATGTCCAGCAGTTGACTCTTGTGGCTGTAAAGTTAAAAGTAAAGGTGGTTGTGATTAATATAATTTTTTTTATCTCACAAAATTTGAATTAAACCTTTGGAATAGCTTTTATGATATATTCATTTTATCTTAAGATTTTTCATTCTCTTTCAATATTGATATTTTTTCATGCGGTTACTTTGTATATTATTTGAAGAAAGAATCCTTCAGAGCAGAATATAAAGGTAATGTAATGATAATAGTGTTCCGGAAAGTTATTGTATATTCAGAAAGTAGAATATTATTATTCCTAAGTATTTTCAAGGAAAAATGGATAAATATTATTTATTCTGAGAAGTACTACTGAATGAATGGATTCCCTTTGTGTTTCCTTAAGATTGTTATCGAAATATTGAATAGGAATCTTGCTATTAATAACGCCATAAATAAATGATTCCTTTAACAGAAGTCTTAGGCCAAGTTTCTTGGAATTTTGGCGTAAAACTAGTTTTTGCGTGGGTCTCACACATTCCACGACACAAACTATATGAAGAAAAGTAAGTTCTAAGAAAGAGTACCGTTGTAGAGTTACATTTAAAAAAATAACATTACTACAGCAACAACCTTACGACAATGTCAATCATAAAGATGCAAGTTCGTCAAGTGCGTCCACTTGTAGTAGGCGGTTGTTAAACTCTGACACTAGCTTTCACCGGACCGTTTGACGACTCGGTGTCCCACAAGAAGATAATAAGAGAGAGAAAGAGAGAGACTAAGACGCATTGTATCTGTCCCGATACAAGGCATTCTAGTAGAGCCATAGACTTATATATTTAAACTAGCGTTTAAGTAGAGCTATCACAACGGAAACAACCACTCTTTCTCTCTCTTTTCGAATCGTCCAACGACCCGATGAACCCTGGTGTCACCACTTATTTTCGACAGCATCTTGTTAGCCGAACATTTCACGCCACAAATTCTTTAAGTACGGCGCGTCACTTAAGTATATTTTCTGTTCACACAAGCCTCTTTAGCAAACAGCGGGGAGGGGGGGGGGATGCTGTGAATAAGTTTCTGCATTATCATCTGCCAACATTAATTTGGCCAAGCTTTGACGGCCCTCTTTTCAAATTCGAGCCCTGTTCGCGTATTTTGCTCAAAGATTTTGTTAGCGACACACGGATGTAAAGTATCGAGAACTTAGAGTATATACAGGGTGGACCATGGAGAGACGTCAATAAAAATAAATTAGATTCCTCACATCTTGGGGTATTTGAAAATACCCCATGTATGTTCCGCGATTATTTTTAGTTTCCGAGTTATTCAACTTTTAAAGTAGTATGGGAAAATCTCAACTGGCAGTAATTTTTCCTTTCCTTTTTTTTAATTTCGTTTATGGGCTTCTCGCGCGGTTGATTTCCTAGCACAATCTTTATGATTTGTACTTTTCAGCGTACAAAAAAAAATGTCTGCCATTCGAGTTTTCTCCATACAACTTTAAAAGTTGAATAACTCGGAAACTATAATCGCGGAACATACATGGGGTATTTTCGAATACCCCAAGACGTGAGGAATCTAATTTCTTTTTATTGACGTCACTCCATGGTCCACCCTGTATATCGAGAATATTTACTCGATTTGTACTGTGGGTGTTGATCTTAAGTTATGTAGTAAACCACAACAGTTCAGTGCTGGATAAGGTCTCCTCCTTTGGAGGTATTTGCTATCTATCACGACAAGCGAAACGCAATACAAGGTTATGCATTTACTCGAAACGCTGCTGGTCATTTCCGAGGTGAATTCTTTAATCATCATTTGTAACAACCACGCCTGGAAATAGTGTTAAATATAACTTAATTTCGAAAGGCTTTCTCCGCACAACAAGTTTCTCAGCTGGAAAACTTGCAAAATATTCCACCGTAGACAGGATTTAAACCTGCTACTTTCAGCATCTGTACTGCCGACGCCTTTACCAACCTGGCTACCTCAATTTAAGGCTACGGCATGTGAATCTTGGCTACTAATAAGTGTTAATGTGTTTTGTAATTAGGGGGTTTAAATCCTGCATGCGGTGGAAAATCTTCCAAAAGTTGTATAGGAACCTAGCACGGGAAGTGTTTTAAAATTTGGTATTCAACTTCGTCAGCCGTGTGTCCTAAGCTGTTTACTCCCACCGCATGGAACTGATTTTATAAATGGTGGTGCGCCGCCACAGTTTTGATTTACCATATTGAAAAGGCGCTGAATATTGCAGAGTACCCTTTTGTTGGGCAAATAAAGCCCTTAGGGCGGTAGTCCATTAGTCGTAATCCAAATATCCGAACGGCCAAGTGTATTTTGCGTCTATCCATGATATTTTGCTGTGTGATAGCGGGTTAGAATAGTATCAACCCAATTTTAGCTTGGGTGTCGTGAAAAGCGAATACAGCATTGTGATCCAGGGAACGGGCAACAGCGTTCCCTGTGAATGCAACTTCTAGCACTGTGCTGGCCAATGCGCCTGCCAAGCGAGATAAGTATAGTAATACCCCCAGGTAGGAATAGATGGAGGCAAGGCCATGCCACAGTTTTCTGAATGACTCTCAAACTTTTTTCAAGCATGGCTATTTATACTCTGCCTACCCCGCAAGGGATATAGGCGTGATATATAAAATTAATGTAAAGTAGATAGGTGGTTTATGTATTTCGATAGAAACCTGAGCAAAGTTTATATTTTATCTTATTTATGTACAAAATGTACGATTAATTAACTAACTAAATAAATATCGGTGCCTCGCGAGCAATGGTGAACCGTCTTCCCAGTAGAGATGTGAAAAAATAATCGATTATTACAAAAATCGATGCTTTTTCTAAAATAATTGATGTTTTAGAATCAATTATGCAATTTTAATTAATTCATTAGTAGTATTTTGTGGCATATTTTTGCACTAACGAACTATTTTAGGTCTTGTTTAATATTAATAAAAATATACGAAACCTCTCATTAGGTCCCGTGTAATATTTCGTATAGACGCCATGATGTTTATTTTGCTTCTATCAAGTATTATACGATAAAAATATTATTGTGTAAAATCAAGTAAAATATATGAGGAAAAAAATCGATTGAATACCTTTTAAGACACTTCCCGTGTTAGGTATACTATTTATGAAAACTTGCAAAATTTTCACCGCAGGCTGGATTTGAACCAGCGACCTTCGCCATCTGTACTGGCGACGCCTCTCTATAGCAAAATTTTGCAAGTTCTCTTAATAAAAATCGATTGGCTGACATAAAATAATCGATTATTGATGAATTGATTTTTTGTTACTGTTGTCGCATCCCTGCTTCCCAGGTTGGCCCCATTCAAATGGGACTGACAATAATTAATTATACCGGTGCCAGGATTAATCTGATTAGATGCGAAATGGATGTTTCATATTGCTCTCAGGTTCCAGGGAATATTGTAGAAGGTATTTAGTAAATAGGTTAAGTAACAAGCAGTTGTATTAAAAAACAAAAATCCGGCTGCGGTAATTTGAAAGTTATATTTTGAGATAGTAATCCGCCATCTTGAATTTATGATTTTTTATTATAGCCAGTGTCACTCATGCTGCTGAGACGAATCTAACGACACCTCACACGTCAAGATCCTTCCAGCCCAGCCGTTTGGGCTGTAGTGTGTGAAAACGAATTCCTGGATACATAGGTACATACATACATACATACATACTCTCGAAAAACATAACTCTTCAGGCAGTCGGGTACGGGTAAATACAAATAGCAGCATTTGGTTTTGATATTTGTAGAAACATTAAATAAGGCCTGGGGGCGTATTTGTTGATTCAAAGGATTCTCAATTCCCGTTCAAAACACAAAATAGAGATTTTACAGAAGGATCACTCGACCCTATTTAGGATTTTCGTGATTGTCACCTGTTAAATTGCTAGGGTTGCTAGAATGAATACGGGGTAGAAAGACAGCTCTAAATCTGATGCAGGAACGTAATATGATTCTGAGCTGTCTCGAATGTAAGAACCATATGGCAAACATCTTCTTAGTCACCTTGAGTTCCTCTGAGATTCCAGTTCGTTCCAGTAAGCGTCAAAATTGTCGCCAGTACTGAGTGTTCAAAAGATGTAACAATAAATCGCTATTTTATGTGACAGTTTCTTACAGCTATAAAATGGCAATTTTAGACTAATGTAACTTCTATTACGAGTGACGCCCTTGCCTCGCAAAGCGCAGCGTTGGACGCCTTCCTTCCAGATGGATCGATGACTTAAATATGGCGGCTTTCGCGACTGGATGGCGAAAGCGGTAGATCGTGCTCTATGGCGTACTTTGGGGGAACCCTAGCTATGTAAGGTTACTTTTAATTAAGTACAAATCTCTTGAGGGTGTGATCTTCTCACAATACTGAACAACTTTTGTTAGAAACTTTTCTTCGAAATATGAAAAAAGAAATTGGACCTCCCATACTAAGTAGCACCCTCTTCAACATTTTTGTATGGGATATCCAAATTTATTTTTTTCATATTTCGAAGAGAAGTTTCTAACAAAAGTTGATCAGTTTTGTGAGTAGACCACACCCTCAAGAGATTTGTACTTAATCAAATGTAACCCTATATAGTGTCATGTGTGCCTTCCAAACTCTCAAGTCACCATTATAACTAAATCTAATTCTCCTTGCGAATATAAACCTTGCATTTTGTAAAGCTCATAATCATAAGTGAGTGAATACTTCAACTGCTTCTAACTTTATAACCCTCGCTTACCACGTCATAAATAACTTTTAAAGTAGTTAGTAGTTGTTACTTGTATGTAATTAACGTGTAAGTTGCTAGAAAGCATGGTCAAGCTGGTGGTTAACTTAACTACACTTGTTAGAGTTTAAACTTTACAGACTGTTTTTGACGCCACTGAACGTGCCTTAAGGTGTCGCCAAGTTTTTCTATTTTCCACACTAAGTACAAACCCTACATTAGTCACGTACACACATCATCCCTTCATCCTTTGCGGGTTAGGCAGACACTCTGCCTACGCAAACGGGTACGGTTGGAATTGCAACACGTCTAAAAAATATTGTGTCAGTTCAGAAAATTGTGTATCATTGTGGTGCCCATTTCCTAAAATTGAAATAGATAATAGATATATGTTTCATGTCATGAAACAATTTTAATAGTTGATGAACTCGGAAAAGTCTCAATACATAACATTTAATGTGCAACCGTGTAACAATGATTGACAATCTCTTGTGCGCGAATACATATTCAAATCCGAACAAAAAAAGACGGACGCGAGATAAATGTAGGAGCACAAGAGTACAAGAGCCGGGTCCTTTCAGCGCTAAACAAAAAAAATGAGGATTGAAACCTGGCGACACAATGCCGGATGCGACCTGACATCATCATGGAACGGGGACGCGAAATAATAAGGCTTTGTAGTGGCCCAAGTTATAAGAGACCCACTAAAACTTTCAGAAAGTTGACTATTATAGATCGCGCTGTTGGAATTTACAACGTGTCCTGTCCCGCATCTTCATAACGCGGAAGTTCCGCATCCATTACCGCTTCCACGTGAAAGAAATTTCACTTATCAATTATTCTTCTGCTTCCGCTTCCTCATAGCTTCTGTTGATGATATATTCAAAAGTACAAATACGTATTAAAAACCAAAGTTAAAATCTGACATAATCATTTGCTCTCTTTTTTGTTTTCTTTGATCGCTTCCTCTTCCTCATCCGCATCCTCTAATTTTCAGCTTGTTACTTCCGTTTCCGCTTTCTCTTTCTCATAGCAGCATTCTCATAAACAAGAGACCCCAGCATACCCTGTAGAAAGTTGTCGTGCGTCGTTCATAGATGTCGCTGTTGGAATTTGAAACGCGCTGATCAACAGCTATCATTAAGATCACAAATAAATGAGGATTGAAACCTAGCGACACAATGGCGAATGCGACCTGACATCATCATGGAACGGGGACCCGAAATAATAAGGCTTTGTAGTGGTCTAAGTTAAAAAAGACTAGCGTTGATGAGGATTCCTTTTCCGCATTCTCATAACGCGGAAGTTCCGCATCCGTTACCACTTCCATATAAAAGAAATTTCAAAATTCTTCTTCCACTTCCGCTTCCTCATAGCTTCTGTTGATGGCATATTCAATTGTACTAATACGAGTATAAAAAACTCACATAATCATTCATTTCAATGTAGGAGCATGAAGAGTACAAGAGCCGGGTCCTTTCAGCGCTAAACAAAAAAAATGAGGATTGAAACCTGGCGACACAATGCCGGATGCGACCTGACATCATCATGGAACGGGGACGCGAAATAATAAGGCTTTGTAGTGGCCCAAGCTAAAAGAGACTCACCAAAACTTCATGGAAAACCTTGGTGGAAAACTCAAGTGAGAAAGAGCTAAATGACCGCCATACGGCCACGAATACAGCAAATGGTCTTCTCAACTATAAAAACAAATCCATGTAAATAGCAGCAGCATAGCATTTTCTGATAAATACAGCTGCCACTCGTCAATCCACCTGCCATTCTAAACAAAAAAAGGGGATTGAAATCTGACGAAACAATGGCGGATGCGACCTGACATCATCATGGAACGGGGACGCGAAATAATAAGGCTTTGTAGTGGCCCAAGCTAAAAGAGACTAGTGTTATTGAAGATCCCTCTTCCGCATTTTTATAACGCGGAAGTTCCGCATCGGCTACCGCATCCACATAAAAGAAAGTTCAAAATTCCTCTTCCGCCTTCCGTCTGCCATTCTAAGCACAAAACACAATGGGAGTCTTATTGTTCAAATTACTCTCACCAAAACTCTGTGCTTATAGGACAGATCTTAGCCCATTGCAATAGATATATCACTCCAGTCTATTGCAGGCGACTCACGTAAAACAAACGACATATAAGGCATGACATTCTTCTTCTTCTTCGAATGAGACACCAAGTCGTCCAACGACCAGATGAACCCTGTGTCAGAGTTTTAAAACCGCCTAATGC